GCCCTGAGCTAACATCCAATGCCAATCCTCCTCTTTTTCTTTTTGCTGAGGAAGATTGGCCCTGGGCTAACATCCATGCCCATCTTCCTCCACTTTATATGGGATGCCGCCACAGCATGGCTTGACAAGCAGTGTGTTGGTGCACGCCTGGGATCCGAAGCGCGAACCCCGGGCCACTGCAGCGGAGTGCGTGCAGTTAACCACTGCGCCACCAGGCCAGCCCCACCCCTTTTCATTTCTGATTTTAGTTATTTGAGTCTTCTCTCTTTTTCTTAGTTCATCTAGCTAAAGTATTGTCAATTTTATCTTTTCAAATAACCAACTTTTGGCTTTGTTGATTTTTCTCTATTGTTTTTCTGTTCTCTATTTAATTTATCTCTGCTCTAATCTTTATTATTTCCTTCCTTCTGCTAGCTTTGGATTTAGTTTGTTATCCCTTTTTTAGTTCCTTAAGTTGTAAAGTTACGTTATTAACTTGAGAAATTTCTTGTTTTTTAATGTAAACATTTATAGCTATAAATTTCCTCATTAGCCGTGCTTTTGCTGTGTCCCGTAAGTTTTGGTATGTTGTGTTTTCATTTTCATTCAGTCCCTAAGTATTTTCTAATTTCCTTTGTGGTTCCTTCTTTGATCCATTGGTTGTTTAAGAGTGTGTTGTTTAACTTCCACAAATTTGTGAATTTTCCAGTTTTACTGCTGTTATTGATTTCTAACTTCATCCTGTTGTGGTCAGAGAAGATACTTGGTATGATATCTATCTTTTAAAATCTATCAAGACTTAATTTGTGTCCTAGCACGTGGCCTATCCTGGAAAAATGTCCCATGTCTCTTGTGTATGCTGTTGTTGTTGGGGAGAGTGTTCTGTATATTTCTGTGAGATCTAGTTGGTCTATCGTGTTGTTTAAGTCCTTTGTTTCCTTACTTATCTTCTGTCTGCTTGTTCCAGCCATTATTGCAAGTGGAGTATTGAAGTCTCCAACTATTATTATAGAACTCTCTATTTCTCCCTTCAATTCTGTCAGTTTTTGCTTCATATAGTTCCATGGTTTGTCATTAGATGTATAAATGTTTATAAATGTTATATCTTATTGCTGTATCAAATCTTTTATTAACTTATAATGTCCTTTTTTATCTCTTGTAACCTTTTTTGATTTAAAATTGATTTTCTCTTATATTAGTATAGCCACCCTTGCTGTCTTTTGGTTACTATTTGCATGGAATATCTTTTTCCATCCTTTCATTTGCAGTCTATTTGTGTTTTTGGATTTAAAATGAGTCTCTTTTAAACAGCATATAGTTGGATCATCTGTTTTTATCTAATCTCTGTCTTTTGAATGGAGAGTTTAATCCATTTACACTTAAAGTAATTACTGATAAGGAGGGACTTACTTCTGTCATTTTGCTGTTTGTTTTCTATATGTCTTATAGCTTTTTTGTCTTTCATTTCCTGCATTACTGTCTTCTTTTGTGTTTGATTTTTTTTGTAGTGAAATGTTTAAATTATTTCTCATTTCCTTTTGTTTATATTCTCTAGCTATGTTGAGGTTATCCTGGGTATTACGTTTAAAATCCTAAAGTTGTAGCACTCTAATTTGAATTTATTCCAGCTTAACTTCAATAGGATACAAAAACTCTGCTCCTTTACAGCTCTGTCTCCACTCCTTTCAGTTGTTGATGTCACAAAATTACACCTTTATGCATGTGTGCTCAAAAACATAAACTAGTAATTCTTTTAAATGCATTAATCTCTTAAATTATGTAGAAAACAAAATGTATAGTTACAAACTGAAGTTACACTAATGCTAGCTTTTAAATTAATAATTATAAAAATTTATTAGTCTCTTAAATCATGTAGAAAACACAAAGTGGAGTTACAAACTGTTGTTACAATAATACTAGCTTTGATATTTGACCATGTATTTACCTTTGTTGAGATCTTTATTTCTTTATACAGCTTCACATTACTGTCTAGTGTCCTTTCATTTCACCTTGCAGGACTCCTTTAAGCATTTCTTGTAGGCTCTAGTGGTAACAAACTCCCTCAGCTTTTGTTTATCTGGGAATGTCTTAATTTCTCCCTCACTTTTTTTTTTGGTGACGAAGATTGGGCCTGAGCTAACATCCCTTGCCAATCTTCCTTTTTTTGCTGAAGAAGATTGGCCCTGAGCTAACATCTGTGCCCATTTTCCTCTCTTTTGTATATGGGATGCCGCCACAGCATGGCGTGATGAGTGGTGCTTAGGTGTGTGCCCAGGATTCGAACCTGCGAACCCTGGGCTGCCAAAGAGGAACTCACAAACTTAACCACTATGCCACTGGGCCAGCCCCTCTCGCTCACTTTTAAAGGACAGCTTTGCCAGATATAGAATTCTTGGTTGACAGTTTTTTTCTTTTAGCACTTGACTATATCAGCCATTGTCTTCTGGCCTCCAAAGTTTCTGATGAGAAATCTGCTGATAATCTTATTGAAGAGCCCTTGTGTGTGATGAGTTGCTTCTCTCTTGCTTTCTAGATTCTCTCTTTGTCTTTGTCTTTTGAAAGTTTGGTTATAATATGCCTTGGTGTGGGTCTCTTTGAGTTCGTCTTACTTGGAGTTAGTTGAGCTTCTTGGATGTTTATAGTCATATCTTTCATCAAATTTGGGAAGTTTTCAGTCATTATTTCTTCAAATATTCTCTCTGCCCCTTTCTCTTTTCTCCTTCTGGGACCACCACAATGCATATGTTGGTACATTTTATGGTACCTCACACGTCCCTTATGCTTTATTCATGTTTCTTCAATCTTTTTTTTTTCTGTTTCTCAGACTCAATAATTTCCATTGTCCTGTCTTCAAGTTTGCTGATTCTTTCTTCTGTCTCCTCAAATCTGCCTTTAAATTCCTTTAGTCATTTTTTAAATTTCAGTTATTATACATTTCAGCTCCAGATTTCTTTTCTTTTTAAATAAGATTTTCTCTTTATTGATATTTCCATTTTGTTCATACATTTTTTTCTTGACTTTCCTTACGTGTTCCTTTAGTTCTTTGAGCATCTTAAAGACAGATGTTTTAAAGTCTTTGTCTAGTAGACCTGCCATCAGATCTTTTTCAGGGACACTTTCTGTAGATTTATTTTTTTCCTTTGAATGGGCCATACTTTCCTATTTCTGTATGCCTTGTGACTTTTTTTGTTGAACACTGGAGATTTGAATCCAATGATGTGGTGACTCTAGAAATCAGATTCTCCCCTTTCCCCAGGGTTTTCTGTTTTTTGTTATTGTTTTTGTTTATTGTTTTTGGTTTTTGATTGTTATTGGCTGTCTCTGCACTGAATATCAGCCTGAGGTGTAAACGTAAGGTCTTCTTAGGTCTTTTTCAAAGCCTGTGACTTTCTCTGGGCATATGCAGTCATTTTATTGATTTTCCCTATAAATGCATTTGTTTTTAAATGTTCTGGTCTTTAATGTCTGGTTCCCAAAAAGGGAAAAAAGAGAAAAATGAAGGAGGAGTAAGAGGGGGCTCGAGCCCTTTAAGTCCCCTGGAAGTCACTTCAGCCAGAGGAGGAAGGGCTTGCCACAATGTGGGGAGGTGCAACAACAGTGTCCACCCACCTCTTTGACTGTACCTCTGTGATCAGAAGCATCGATCAGCAATCAGAGGACAGATTCCTGATATTTAGAGGACAGGGTACTTTTTGCAAAAGTGGCTTCCACAAACTATGTGCAAGTTTCTCCAGGAACTTATGCACAGCTGCCTGCTGTGGGGCTGGAAGTAGGGGATGCATAGCTGCTACTGTGGTAAGAGCTGAAATTGACCAATATTAACTGCAATTTACTGTCCAAGCCTTTCCCTGGAAATTGCAAGCCTGCAATAGACTCCAGAGTTCCAAAATAGTTACATCAAACAGATTCTGCCAGTGCATTTGGCATCTAGGTGAGGAGACAGATTCCTGGTGCTTCCCTAATCTGACATCTTCCCAGAATCCTCTCTTGTATTATGATGTTTTAATTTTCATTTTCCTAATTGCTAATAAGGCTGAGCATCTTTTCATACATTTATTGGCCATTCTGGTTTCCTCTTCTGTGAAGTACATATTCATGTTTCCTCCTTTTTTCTATTGGGGTGTCTTTTTTCTTATTGATTTGTAAGAATTGTTTGTATACTCTGGATACTAATCCTTGTCCTTTACCCATGTTGCAAATATCTTTTCTCACTCTTCAGTGTTTTTCAGATCTTATTTCCTTGTGAAACATAACGCACTTAAAGAAAAGTATTAAAAATAGAAATTCTGAGCTTAATGATTTATCACAAAGCAAACACCCATGGAACTCCCACCCAGATCAAGAGATAGAATACTGGCCCACAGAAGGCCTGTTATGCCCTCTTCCCATCACTACCTATTCCTCCCCTTCCAGAGGTAACCACTGTCCTGAATTCCTTGCTTCTCCTCATGGTCTTCCCACCTAAGCATACACGCCTGTAGTTTAGTTTTGCCTGGTTTTTGAATTTTATATAAATGCTATCATATAGTATCTTCTTTTTTGGTCTGGCTTCTTTTGCTCACCATTATGTTTGTGAGATTCATCCAAGATGTTGTGTATAGCTGTTCATTCCTTTTCACTGCATCATGGCATTCCATTCTATGCATATATCACAATTCATCCATTCTTCTTTTGGTAGACATTCAGGTTATTTTCAGTTTTCAGCTATTACAAATAATGATTCTATGAACATGTTTGAACATGTCTCTTGTTGAACGTGTGCACACCTTTCAGTTGAGTTTGTTCCTTGGAGTAGAATTGCTAGGTCAAAGGGCATGTGTGTTTAGTCTTAGCAAATAATGTCTTTGGCTTATTTTAAGTCATGTTTTATGATGACTTTTATTATATAGCTGTTTTTAATTTTAAACAGCTGTGGACACATTGGTCAATATTTTCCTTTAAGGTTTATTATGTTTTCCTGTGTGCGCCTAATTGAGAAATCTTTACAAACCCTGATGTCATAAAGATACTCCTCTGTTTTCTTTTGAAAGTTTTGCTTTTCACATTTAAGACATTAATCCATCTGGAATTTACTTTTGATATGGTTTTAGGTAGGAATCTTATTTTCTTTCTATATGCACAGGCAATGGTCTTAATGCTATTCATTTAAATTGTATTTTCTGCTTAGTTATTTTCTAATTGCTTGTGTGTAGGAGCATTTTTGATTTTCTTTTTTGCTTCTTAAATATTTATTTCAACATAACTCTGCTTACAGAAATACACTCATATTGGTTAATAGAATGCAATTTAACTTATCCTGCATAATTTGGACCAAAAACTTGGTACATGGTTTAAGATTTAAAAAAAGGATTTGTAATCTAGTTTATTCTTCATATACTACAAATATATAAAAGATACTCCATCAAATGCTTCCACAGCAGGCAGCAAGAACCTTGAGAAACTTACCTTTGGTTTGCCTCAGAAAAGTAACATGTATTATACTGTAAACGTTTATAAAATTGGTGTAAGAAAATATTGTTGTAATGTTTCTATGCCGCTTGACAAAGTTCAGTAACTAATGGATGTGTATGGGGAGGGGCAGCCTATGTACATGTGAAACTGTCAAAGCTCTCTGATTTAGTTAATATTGCATGTAGGTTACAAATCTGCACAAACCAAGATTCAGATAATTTCTCGAATCTCAGTGAACACTATCAGCTCCTTTCATCTGCTGAGGTCAGTAAGGAAACGTGGCACACCAGCTGTAAGTTTTTCTGACTTGTGCAAAAAAGAAGAAAATTAAGTTTCTTCTCTAGCTTTTCAGTCCAGAACTGATATTACACTATAGGCAAGGTATTCCTTCCATAGTCAACATTCATGGGGAACATGTGATGAGGCTACTTGGGTTGAAATTTGTATCATATGCACTCATAAGCAAAATAGTCCCTAAAGTTGAAGACCACGTGATTTTAGAAATTATTCTAAAGAATAAAATGGCCCTTCTTGGAAGATTAGAGCAAAACATCGTCTTCTTTTTGATAAGAAGCCTTATCAAAAAATGTAGCCCCTTGTAAATTACACCTCAAAAAAACCCACCCCAAAACAAACGTAGCCCCAAAAGGAAGCTCTGAAAAAAGAGGAAAAAAATACATCTTAAAATGTCTTAAAAACCAATGTGAATATAGATTCAAAAGATAGTTGAAAGAGATCCATTTTCATAAGACTACCTAGGAATAGGCTTATTCCAGTGTTTTATTCTAGTATTTTAAGTGTATCAGTAGTTACTAAACATCAATTTACAAATAACTTGTTTGTTTTTTGTACCGTTATCAAAAGGGAAAGTTCTAGCTTTAATTCTATCCAGTAGGGAGGAAACTGAAAAATAAAAAAGATTCAAACAGTTCAATGCAAATATCACATTTGTCAAATGGAAGAACTCCCAACTGGACCAGAAGTTCATATTACTAATATACTTTTCACTGATATAATTTTTAATAAGGGTAAATACAGAGCATTATGGTTCAGAACCTAATATAGGCCTGACAATCAAGGCCTTGTTTTCTGGAAGAAAGGTCTTAAGTCCCACTCGGTTTCCAGCAAAACATTTTTACAGAGTGGAATGTTTTTACATCGTTTTTATACAAAGTGTCCCTATAACTACACCAGGATAGTTGCAATCCATTTGAAGCCTCACCTGTAGAAAAAGGCTGTCGTAGGGACAGCAGGACACCCACTAGTTTGTGAAGATCACTGAAAGAGTGTGATTTTTTAAAAATAAGGGTTTTAGTTTTCTTCATATTTTTGTTTTTAGTTTTCTAGTCTTAAAAACTAAATTAGAAATTAGTTGAATTCCCCATAAGGGAATTTTTCTTTGCACTGTGAAAGAATCCACTAAAACCTCTTCTCCCCACTGATTCCCAATCTCCAATCTGTGCTTAAGATGATGACTCTTTTTATATATTAATGTAAAAGGTAACTTTTGTGAAAGTCCCCAAGAACATTGAAACTTGTTGTTAGAAAGGTTTAACTAGCTTTATAACTTAAGTTTTGAAACATAAATATTTGCAGCTTGATCTTGTTGACAATGATTGTTGGAGCCTAGAATTCAACATCACTTACTAATTCCCGTTCATGCACCCCAAACACACACCATTATCACACAACTTACTCCTCGTGTCTTGAGAGAATCTTCTGCTTCTTTAAATCTTTGGCTTCCCCATCAATTCCATGTCTTTTATCTTTTAACTGAAACTTAACTCTCAGATTAACATCTTAACTTTCTCTTAACATCTCTTAACTCAACTTCACTCTCAAATTTTTAACAAGTTTTCCACGTACACTTCATCGATGCTTTTCCTAATCTTTCATGTTGTAATCTGAAACCTGCCTCAGAGATCATCAGATAAAAGAAAATAAATGAAATATAAAGGGGTTATTTCAGAATAGAACCTGGGAGGTCAGAATTGTTCAGGATTCCCTATTGGGATCATCCTTTATTTTACTGCAATGAATAACGATTATCAACAAGAAGTGGCAAAAATCCTATGTTAGATTCTTTCGTATTCTTTGGTGACTGGCCAGAGAAGCTGCAAAAGAGTTTGGGAGTACCTACTCTTTTTCATACAAAGTGCCCCCATAGGATGAATTACAGGAGAGGCACAATTCACATGAGGCCTCACCTGTAGAGAGGGCTCTCAAGGGACGGCCAGGACCCTTGCTAGTTTGTTGTATAAGAACCTTCGATGGGTTTGGAATCTCACAAGTGGTATTCTGTATAATTTGAAGGAGTAACCATATCTCCTCATTCCAGGTTTGCAGTTCCCAAATATCACTTAGAATTCTTTATTCAGTTGAGTAGCCGTATGGACACCAGCCATCTATGAACAAAGGTTTTTCTCAAATATATGACTTAACACTGTAATTTAGGAAGTAACTGTACCAAAACAGGCCAAAAAAAATGACTTATGGTTGGTATTTGAAATAAAAATCCATTTGATATAGAGCCTCATGGTTGATTTATTGGAAAATCAGAACTGAGAGCTGTGAATTTACTATATCCACTCATGCACAGTAACATGTGAAATACAGATTCTGCATAGATATGACGTATGAAAATCAAATCTGTGGGTTGAACCTGCATGGTTCATTGCTTACAAACTTGTACACACTAATGTTCTGCAAAAAAGACAATTGGAGCAAAGAAAACTGCCCTTTTGATTTCTCTCTTGTTATCTCCATTGGCCCATTGGCTGTTCAGTAGCATGTGGTTAGAAAACTGTTCTTTTGCAAACAAGCAGAAAAGCATATCTCCAAAGAGACCAAAATAAACATGCATGTATATGTTTAAAGTGCTACTGTTCAACACAAATGCTATTTCTAGAAAAAACTTAACTGCATAGGTTAAAACAACAATGTGCAACAACATCTTAAGCCATTAAAGCACCAAAATTAAAGAAAACACATCAAAATCACCATTTTTATGATGATTAACATACACAAATAAGAAATATTGATCCAAACTCAGGAAGTAAATACCTGGACTGATACAATGTTGATTGTTGGGAGAATTTTTCTTCGATTTGAATGTCTTTTATCATCTCTAAAAATTTTTTTTTAAGTGCTAACATTATATTAAAGCAGGCAAGTTCTTCTTCAAGTAATTTGCTATTAAGTATGCCAATTTTTATAGAACTGAAAAATGAACTAAGAATAAACTAAAGTGAAACAGAAAGACAGACATGGGGAAAAAACTGACAAGTCGTAGCTGGACAAGGCAATAGAATGCTGTTATACCATCTTGGCGTTCTCAATTCCTTCACCTTGGCCTTCTCAGTGCATTTCAATTAAACGCATAAGCGAGCAGATTGGGTGTCTGCTGGTTTAGTGTGCTAACTCCCTTGGATTTGCTAAAGTTCGTACAGCAATCCATAGGCATACATATAGTCCTAAGGAAAAGATTGCAACTTAAAAATCAACATTGGATATTAAAGCAATATTAAAAATAAAAGGTTGTCTATCACTGTGAATGAATATAAAATGTAATAGATCTTACAAACTAAGAACTGAAGTCTTGTCCAAAGGTTAACTATTCCTGCCCTTAGCTGCTTTTTCAAGGAGGTATATATTAACCAAATGCGATCGAATTGTTTCCTGTAACTGTTTTCCTTTCTAAAAGAATGAGCACAGAAGATACAAACAAAATCTCCCTCAGCCACTTTGACTGCCAAGACCTCCTTTGCATTTTTCCTACTAGTTTCTTGTGGAACTGGCTGAGCCCCATTCAGTTCAGAATCATCACTGCCCTCTGACATGTTGTCCCTAAGGTCACTTCCATCACAACCGTGGATGCCTTCATCATCATCAGTTTTCTGAGACTCATTTATTACCATGGTAACAGGAGGTGATGCCGGGGCAGTGTGGGCCACTGCTTCTCCTTTTCCTATTGGTGGGGGAAATTCCTGAAGAGGAACCTCTCTGTTTCCTCCCTTTTTTTCTTGAGGAAGACTGGCCCTGGGCTAACATCCGTGCCCATCTTCCTCCACTTTATATGGGACACTGCCACAGCATGGCTTAACAAGTGGTGCGCCAGTGCGCGTCCGGGATCCGAACCCGCGAACCCCGGGCCACCGCAGCGGAGCGTGCACACTTAACTGCTGCGCCATTGGGCGGCCCCACCTGCCCTTTCCTTTAGCTTCTCTCTGCATGTTGGACTTTTCCTTTTTATAGTCATGTGCCACATAATGATGTTTTGATCAATGACTGACCGCATATAGGACAGTGGTCCCGTAAGATTGGTACCGTATAGCCTAGGTATGTAGTAGGCTATACCATCTAGGTTTGTGTAAGTACACTCTGTGATGTTCACACAATGACAAAATCGCCTAACAATGCATTTCTCAGAATGTATCCCTGTCGTTAAGCAATGCATGAATGTATTATCTTTTCAGGAAGGAAACTTTTTGGGAATCAGCTCCATGTGAAAAGGAAGCTCCATGGGAAGAGGCTTCCACCTGAGCAGGCCCCTCCCGCCTGAGCAGGCCCCTCCCACCTGAGCAGGCTTGCTTCTTTTTTTACTTGATTTACTTTTCAGAGTTTTCATCTTTGTACTTTTTTTTCATGTAGGTATTTTGCTTTTTATTCTCTACTTTGCTATCTCCCTTTGGCGCTTCCTGACTCTTTTTGGATCTGCTTTCTACTTTCTTTTTCTTTTGTTACAGGTTCTTCATCATTCACAAGATCATTTAAGGAATGGGCTTCAGTTTCTATCTTCCTATAGCTTTTCTTGGTTTTACAGGATTTTTCTGAATTATTTCCTGCATGCACATCTGTCTCTTTAGTCTCTGTTGCCGATTGGCGAGTTCTGGTAGACACTTGACCATTGAGGCATTACTACAAGTCTTTTCTCTTTTGAAACATCTTTTTTCTCCACTTTTACAGACGATTGTTGACTTTTTGTATGTTGATATTGTATCTGACAACCTTGATGTGCTCTCCTACTAGTTCTAGTTGTTTGTGATTCTCTTGGATTTTCTATATAGACCATCATATTTATCTGTTTATAATGACAGTTTCATGTCTTCCATTTCAATTCTTATATACTTTTTTCTTATCTCACTACATTGCTGTGCCCTCTGCCCTCCAGTACAGTGTTCAAGAGGAACAGTGATAGCATTTGACTCATTTCTCCCTTTACCAGTCAGCATGATGTTTGCTGTAGATATTTAGTAAGGTGTCATTGGGTTCAGGAAGTTGCCTTATATTCCTAATTGACTAAGAATTTCTTTTCATGATATGAATTGAAAATTTTCTACATCTATTGAAATGAACATGCAATTTTTCTCCTTTAATATATGGTTTTCTAGTATTACATAGCTCCTACTAGATCATGATACATTATTTTTTGTGCACACTGTTAGAATAGGCTTACTATTTATTTCAGATTTTCACATCTGTATAAATGAATGAAATGAGCTTACAATATACCATGCTTAGTTTCACTTGTTTCGGAGCCATACAGACCATGTTTCTGACTTCTTTTGCTTAAAATTATATTAAGATTCACTCATGTTGTTATATGTAACTATACTGTAGTTTGTTCATTCTTCTTGCTAAATAGTGTCAAAAATAAGCAAAGCTGGACACTATTTAAAGTGGTGAGGACAGAATTTAATCAGCAACACACTATTGCAGTAGGGAAAAGAGTCCAGTGTGAACTGAACTCCACTTCGATTTGCACAGAGGAGACTGGCCGTTTTAAAGGAAGGGGGGGAGGGGGTGAGTAGGGACTCAGTAGAGTCGGGAAAGTGAAAAATTAGAAAAAGGGGGGGGGTTGGTCCATGTGAAACCCATGTGGCTTGCTAAGGGGCTCATCAAGATTAGGCTCCTCCCCCCACAGGGGCTGGGGGACGGGCCTGTCTTCAGGTACTGGCTGGAACAGACGGTAGGTTCTCTCTGCAGCCTGGAATTTTCTCAGGCAGGCACTTTAAGGGGGGCTGGGGTCCTCCTGGGGATGCAGCCTGAGCTGTTTCCTAAGATGTCTTAAAATAAAGACATCTTCAGATATCTGAAGTTTCCCCCCATTGGTTTATGAGTTCTTTATATATTCTGGATGCAGGTCTTTTGTTAGTTCTTTGTGTTAACAGATATTTTCTCTCACTCCATAGCTTGCCCTTTTACTTTCTTAATGTTATATTTTGATGAAAAGAGTTAGAAGTTCTTAACTGTATTTATCAATATTTTCTTTTGTGGTTAGCGCTTTCTTATAACTTTTTTAAAATAGACTTTATTTTTAGAGCAGTTTTAGGTTCACAGCAAAATTGAACAGAAAGTACAGCAAGTTCCCATATCCCCCTACCCCCCCACAAGCACAGCCTCCCCCACTGTCATCGTCCCATGCGGGGGTGTATATTTGTCACAGTTGATGAACCTGCATTGACACATCATCATTGCCCAAAGCCCACAGTTTACATTAGTGTTCACTTTTGGTGGTGTACATTCCATGGGTTTTGACAAACGTTTAATGACATGTATCCATGGTTATAGTATCATACAGAGTAGTTTCACTTCCCTAAAAATCCTCTGCACTCCATCTATTCATCCCTCCCTCCCCCCTAACCCATGGCAACCACTGGTCTTTTTACTGTCTCCACAGTTTTGCCTTTCCAGGAATGTCATATAGTTGGAATCATACAGGGCATAGCCTTTTCAAATTGGCTTCATTCACTTTATAATACGCATTTAACTTTCCTCTATGTCTTTTCACAGCTTGATAGCTCTTTTCTTTTTAGTGCTGTATAATATTCTATTGTCTGGGTGTACCACAGTTTATTTATCCATTCACCTACTGAAGGACATCTTGGTTGCTTCCAAGTTTTGACAATTATGAATGAAGCTGCTATAAACATCTGTGTGTAGGTTTTTGTGTAGACATAAATTTCAACTCATTTAGGTAAATACCAAGGAGCACAATTGCTAATAAGAGTATGTTTAGTTTTGTTAGAAACAGCCAAACTGTCTTCCAAAGTGGCTGCACCATTTTGCATTTCCATCAACAATGAATGAGAGTTCCTGTTGCTCCACATCCTCACCAGCATTTGGTGGTGTCAGTATTTTGGATTTTCAACATTCTAATAGGTGTGAGAGGTATTTCATTGTTGTTTTAATTTGCAGTTCCCTAATGACATATGATGTTGAACATCTTTTCATGTGCTTATTTGCCATCTGTATATCTTCTTTGGTGAGGTGTCTGTTCATATCTTTTGCCCATCTTTTAATTGGGTTGTTTGTTTTCTTATTGTTGAGTTTTAAAAATCCTTTGGATATTTTGAATCACAGTCCTTTTTAGGATTTACTTGTAAGGCTCAATTCCTGTCCCATGTCCTTCCCAACTTTGAGGAGCAACAATACCACACATTCTGTCCTAGAAGGGACATTAGAACCTCAGCTCCTAAGTTCTAGAGTCTGAATTTGGGTCTAAAATTCCATGGGGCATTAGTCTGAGCTCACTCTGACTTTGATTTCTCCCCTCCCTGCTGTTTTGGATCTCAGAGAAAACTCACCCTAAGTCGAAGATTCAAAGTCTCACTGCCCTTTAAGGAGGTGTGTGGTGTGGATGTGATGGGGCAGGGAGTCACGTGGGCAGCCCAGGGTGATGAAACGACACACCCTGAATTTTAAACTGTCAGTCCCTGTCACCTAACTGCCAAACAAATTACATGTTGATGATGATGTAAGTGCTCTAAGTAATTTGGTCATGTGCTGCTTTGCAAATACAGTTATTAGTTCAATACTTTTCCCTTTCAGATGTGCGTTCCAAACAGGAGTATGATGAAAGCCATGTGATTACGGCCCGTCGGGTGAAGAAGGTATACTGGCAGAGTCAGAATCTGGGGCAGCCTGGCTACCTTGTGGGGGGGTGGGGAGAATGGGAGATTGTCTCTGAGATCCAGGAGGTGGCACCTGCTGTTGGACTCTGTGGGCAGCAGAGGCAGGACTGCCCCTATGTATCCACCACGAGGGTCTCCCCACTTCTCACACACTCCCTAAGGTGTCGCCCCCCGCCCCCGTCATGGTCAATAGCTTAGTTAAACAAATATTGATTTAATTCCTCGATGTGCTGGGCCCTGTTCCAGACCCTGGGGATACAGCAGAATATAAGATGTCTTAGTCCACTGTCCCTGCCCTCATGAGCTTCTGTTCTGCTCAGGGGACAGACAATAAACTGTAGAGGTAGTTACTGTAACCCAAAGATGGAAGTCCCTCCCTTCCCATCTTCCTTTGTCCATTCTAGCTTTTTAAAAAGACAGAGCCCTGCATTCAGTCATTCCCCCCCACCCCACCTGGTGTCTCCTCTCTCGGGTCATCACCAAGCCTGGCAGCCTTCACTCGGGATCCATCTCTGACCTCTGCAGTTCTGACCACAGCCTCTGCCCTTGACTTCCAGGTTCTCTTACTCTCCTGGTTTCTTCTCTGTCTCTTTGATTCAGCTTCATTTTCTCCTGCAGCTGCTAAAGAAAACCATTGGTCTGTCCTTGATCTCCTTCATATCTGTCAGCACACTGTCTTGCTCAGAGATTTCACCCAAGCTTCCAGCTTCAACTATCCACATGCAATTAGCTGTCCTGTCAATGTTACTTCTAAAATTTTGTCTCGCAAAATTGCTGTGCTATACGTGCCTGCCCTTTGGCCCCTTCCCACGCGTCACTCAGCAAAGAGCACGGGCCCTGCCCCAAGCGTTTTTCCCAGATGAGCTTGCTGCCCAACACCCCGCTGTCCCTACCCCAATCCACCACTGTCTGCTTTTTTCTCCCTGGACTTTCAGTTCTCTGGCTCCATGCTCTAGGTCTTAATCCTCATTTCAGGCCGTTCTCTGCTTTCTGGGTCTGTTCAAAGCCCCTTCGTCATGTATAGCCCTCGGTCTCCAACTCAACTCTCAAATTCCTTGGATTCTGGCAGCACCCCTAGCTCTGGAAAAGAGACATTCTCTCTGCCTCAGCCCCTCAGAACCCCTCAGCCAGGCGACACCTCTCGCCTCCCCTCCCCAACTTCCCAGCCAGCAGGTTGCAGGCCTCCAGGGACCTCCAGCCCCAGCAGGACACAAAGCCCCCAACTCGGTGTTCACGGCCTTCTCGGGTCTGATCCCACCCCCACTCCAGCCTCATCTCCGGCACGCTTCCACACTCACCTGACGCCTCAACGACACTGCCCTCCTGCATTTCCTTGGTTCTGAGATGTTTCCTCATATTTTAACATTTCTGAAATGGGAATACATCCTACAATTGATCTGTGCCTTTAATGTGGCAGTGTCTTTTTCCTCGAAAGTGGATGTGCTGGACATCTGTTGTTTTTCTGCCAGCACCCCCACTTTTTTGAGGGGAACTGCTCCTCTCCCTGCTCAAGCCATGGGATTCTAGTGGTGCACCCTAAGTCGCATGCAAACCCTGGCCACGGTGGTTGGCCATGGGCCTAGGACAAAACCTGAGCGAATCAGAGCAGGGATTAGAGAAGGCGGCTCTTTCTATTCCGGTGGTGGCCTTTGGAGGACGGGAGCCTGAGTGTTGCTGGTGGCCATGACTCGGGCTGCAGGAGGAAGTTCTCTGAGAAGGTGGAGTCAGCATGCAGGGGATGCAGAGAGGAGGAGCGCCAAGGAGGGCATCTTGGCTTCAGAGCCCCGGTTCATGTTTGCTGGGGACCAGTTGGTATCTACCCTGCCTGAAATATTGTTATATGCCAGTAAAACCCTCCTTTTATGTACCCTCTCGATTACAACTGTTATTAAATCCGTGGTACATCTTAAAGCCAGTGGTCTTAAAATCTAGGAATACGTGTGGTCTCCTGAACACACTGCTGTCCGTGAGCACAGGGGTGTGTGTGTTGTGTGCGTCATTGTATCCCGGATGCTCAGTCTGGCCCCTGGCATCTGGTGGGTGCTCAGCATCTATTTGTTTACTAAAATGAATGACTGGAAGCTGTTCCTTCTGCCTGGAATACCCCCAGCCCTTGTCCATGCGGCAAATTTCTACTCGCTCTTGCAGTCTCATCTCAAATACCTCCTGCCCCGTGCAGCCTCTCTGAGTT